ATCTGATCTATTGAAAAATCACTAATTACAAATCCCCTTCTCCTACTCTCCTAACCTTTCACTATCATCAACATATGTCTTTTGCAACAATGTTACAGAATGAAATTGCCACAATGTGATGAATAACATTACTTCCCATAATAGAAATTACAAAAACAAAAAGTAAAAGTGGTCGCTTACCTGCTTACGGTTCTTCCCATCATTAAACGTGATCAAGACATTACACGCAGGCTTGAAAGCTCCAAGAAGGTAATTATACTAAGAAAATATATGAAATATTTTTTTAAAATATGCACAATTTTAGTTGTTCTTATGAAAGTAGATTTGAATCTAATTCAATTTTACAAAACTAACTTATAAAAGGTAATAATTGTTATCCATTTATATACTTTATTTTAGTCATATCACTATTCAATGCAAGATCTTAGGAACCACTAATGGAGAACACACTATCATTAGTACCATCTAGGTCATCTTTAGTCATGTTATGTATAACTTGTTAAGGTTTCTTGAGATCTTAAAAAACTTTAGGACTATCCAATGAGTTTATTCTTGTTATGATTTAGGAATTGTATGTTAATTTTGAGTACACATAACTCTTATTTATAATTAAAAAAAAATGAGGATTTACAATATATGATATGATATGATTAGTTAAGATATGATTAACCTAATATCTTAACAATTCTCTAGGGAGAACAATAAGTAATTATTTTTAAAATAAGTTAAACTAAATATATGCACATTTTTAATAGCTCTTGAAAAAATGGATTTTGGAATATCCCAATCTTATAAAATCGGTTTATAATGTGAGAATTATTCTCCACTTGTATACTTTATTTTAGTCATGTCATTAGTCATTATTATGGGATCTCCAACACATTCACTCAAGTCAAATATTAGACATTTCGAACATACATTTTACGAGACTAAACATTTATAAGTTGTTTGATAAGACACATAAGATAAACTGTAATTTCATATTATAAGAAAATGAATTCGGATCTAATTCAGCCTTAAAAAATAACTTATAAGTTAAGGATTGTCCCTCACTTATATAGTTTATTTTGATTATATTACTAGTAAATGTGAAATCTCTAATAATTAAAAGTAATATTAATTTTAAATTTAATTAAATTGAACCATATTGTTAAAGGGTATAAATAAATAATGCAATTTGATTAACTTGCTTTTTATTTCTCGCATGCATCCTTTTCATGTGTAATTACATTTGAGGCACAATCAAAATAAACTCTTTTTCACAAAGATTTACATTGTGGTTTACCACATCCTAAAGGGACTTTGATACAGGTGGGAGGCCCAAAAGAGTAACCACAAGGCCTTGCAAATTTAAAGATTACACGTTTTAAGGAATTGGGCCTTAAAAGGCCAATAGTTTAAGTTGGAGTCCAACATTTAGTTTCAGTCATTGTTTTTGTTTTCTTAACTTAGAATCAAGGCCCTACACGTGTAGGAACCAGAGTCCTTAAAGTTTCTTTTTATTGTGATTGTATGGAGTCAAATATTAGACATTTCGAACATACATTTTACGAGACTAAACATTTATAAGTTGTTTGATAAGACACATAAGATAAACTGTAATTTCATATTATAAGAAAATGAATTCGGATCTAATTCAGCCTTAAAAAATAACTTATAAGTTAAGGATTGTCCCTCACTTATATAGTTTATTTTGATTATATTACTAGTAAATGTGAAATCTCTAATAATTAAAAGTAATATTAATTTTAAATTTAATTAAATTGAACCATATTGTTAAAGGGTATAAATAAATAATGCAATTTGATTAACTTGCTTTTTATTTCTCGCATGCATCCTTTTCATGTTCTTCCACAACTGTTCAGCTCCTCCTGCAAGAACATCGAGAAATTTTACAAGAGGTCAAACTACACCTCTCTCGAGCACGACAGCGAATAAAACTTTTCGCCGATCAACACCGTCGTGACATTACCTTTCAGTCAGGGGATTGGGTTATATGACAATTTCTTAATTTCATATACCAATATGATAATGTCTTTATGATTTAGAGATCAAAGTAGTTGTTTACCCTATTAATATGTTTGTTTGGTTTTAAAAAAAAAAGTAAGATAAATAGAATTTTAATAAAATTAGTCTAATTAAAATTCAAAATTTTAAACATTTCTAAAAATGACTATAAGATGATTTCAAATATAATTGATCATAAAATTTAAGTATCTTAAATAATGTTTGGCTTGATAATTTTTCTTTTTATATATTATAATATCTTTGCATTAATGTAAAAAATAACATTTCTTAACGTACTTTCTATGTCGGATGTTTTTCACATGATATAAAAAGTGATATAATGACATACTTGTAAATATGTCAAAACATTTTATGATGGATTTTGACTTATCTGTCATAGAATATTCTTTTTATGACGGGTAAATCAACACCTATTATAAAATGTATTAGTTAGTCTTTGCCACCAACCTTTTGATCGCAAATATTGACTTATCCGTAATAGAAAGAAACATTCTATAAAGGGTAAAATGTAACCCACCATAGAATGTCTTGCTATTACCCACACTGTGTCATGCTCCACTATTTCAACCTTTTTTTCCTCAAGCAACATTAAAGGCAATTTTGACGACCCCTCTATGCATATTACCTAGGCAATTCTGACAACCGACGTGAGCAAAATGCTTTAGTGACCAAGGTGACCTATTTTCTATCAAGTCCAACGACATTCTTCTTCTCCTTCAGTTCCATGGTTTTTAGGGTTTGTGTTGGATAATGGGGTTTGTTGATTATCTTTACTCATTGCATATTTGGTTCTCATTTAGTTTCCCTTCAATTCAGCAATAACTTCTTCTTTCTCTTTCACACGCTCTCCCAAGTTTGAATGTTTTAGGTGTTGGTTTATTTTCTTGTTTTGGGGATGGTTTGGGTGTCGTGGTTTGGTTGCATAATTGTGTTAATTTGTCTTTGTTTTGTGTTAATTTGGCTCTATTGTACATGTAGGGGTTGGTTTGGGACTATTGTGGGGGTAGTTGTAGAGGTTTTTTTTTTTTGCGCTTATGATATAGTTATTTAGGTGATATTAATGTGGTTGTTTTGTGGTAAAGTAATGGACTATTTCAGGACTCATTTGAGAGGTTTTTTAGTAGTTATAATGGACTTTTATATTGCTCTTTTAGAATGTGTTTGAGTAATTGACTTTTACATTTCAAAGTAATGGGACATTTTAAGGACTCATTTAAGAGGCTTTTTAGTAGCTATAAAGGACTTTTATATTACTATTTAGAATATGTTTGAGTAATTTAACAAAATTTATAAATGTTATATATGTACAGCCATAATGTACTAAGTTAAATAAACCTATAACATAACTTGGGTTTATTTAAGATAGAAATATTTATTTTAGGTACCAATAAATTTAAATTAAGTTACGTATATATCCATAAATTTAGATTGTGACTAAATCTTAGTTTCTCGCTTAAGATTGAATACAATAGTTACATAATTTATGCTTGTGAGTTATGTATGAGTTGTAGTAATGTGATCTCTTATTCCATTGATTGCTAATATTTAATTGATATAGTTGAATTGTTAATTACTATATTGAGAATGGTTGATGAATTTATGATATGGAATTAGTTGACAATGAATTAATGAGATCATGTGAAATGTTATGCATAGAGTTTGTTTGACATGTATCATGCATATAAAAATATTTTTGTAAGGGTACGGTATGAATACACCACTAGGGAAGGTTCCTTGTGTAAAAGTTTGGGAACCAACCTTGAGGATAACTCCGTTTGGAAGTTCTAGTCATTCCCTATCAGCATGGGGTGTATCTTGCACGACTTACCTATCCTAACCAGACCCTGGTAATATGTCCTTCTAGTGAAAGTGTGTAGGGAGTGTGACCTAGCATGTACACCTAGACTACTCTAGTGTGTTGCTAGCGGCAATGCACAATTGAGATATGTGATATTTTTATTAGCAACATATGCATGATAACATGTAATCTGTGTCCATTGCATATGCATTATAATCTTATCTGTTGTTGCTTACTATGTTATGAATGAGTTAAATATGGTGATGTGTAACTGTGTATGCTATATCATGTTGTATGTTTTGTTTGTGTTTGGCTAGTTGGTTTGCATTCTTTTACTATGAGCTAGAGTGAAATGTTTCTCACTTCTTTTTTCTTTTGTGTTGTCTTCTTGTGGGTTTTTTTTAGGTAATCACCAGCATGGTTTTGAGGATGATGGTGATGAGGCTTAGTCCTCAATGTTAGATTTTGTTTTGATAGGACATGTGATACTAAGGAATTAGTTAGGGCTAGTTAGGATTTGATTCTTGCTATTTACTTTGAATAGTTTAACTTTTATTTTTGTTGTAATTGTTATTCTTGCTAAGTCTAGTTTATGTTAAAATGTAATTCTCTCTACCTGTGTGAACATTGAGTTTATTTATTACATTGAGGCTATTAAGTTTTATATTGTATTATAGCATGTTTGGTGAAGGGTGTCACACCATTCAATTTCATATGCACTCCCTTAATAATAACACTTGTAACTTCCCTTACACTAGTTTCCAAACAAAAGAGAACTCTCACCAAATCAAGATAGTAGGGACCTTGAAGTTTTGAAAATTTCTTTAATCTTTGAAACTCCAGAAGTGGTGGAAAAGTGAAGCCCTCGTTGATGAAACATTCTAGATTGATAGATTTCGGTGGGATAATCCTTCTCCCTGCATACCGTTCAAAGTATTCTTTTCGAGCCTTCTCCTCTGGCACTACTAGAAAAATATTATTCCACATCACCATATTTACATCAGTTCCCTACAAAATAATGTAAAAAAAATGTGCGGTGACAATTTTGTAAATATCTTAAATAAATAAGAATATTTACATCAATTATTCTAAAAAATGATGTATATATAAATAATTCTACATTGGTTATATAAATGAGCGATGTAAAAATGAAAATAGCCAGCTATTCTACATGTTTTGTGTTGACCGATGTAGAAGGGGTGACTAAATTCTTCCCCGCCCCCGCGACCACTCAGTAAATGCGCGCTCACCCTATGACTCAAACGCACACTCTCGAACGCTCCCTCTCGCACACTTTGAGACCCAAACCCTCTCAAGACTCTCAAAGCTAAAATGCTCTCTACAGTCGAAAAGTACCAGCTCAGGCGCTTCCTCGGCCGCGGGAACTTCGCCAAGGTCTACCAGGCGCACTCGCTGCTCGACGGTGCCACGGTCGCGGTAAAAGCCATCGAAAAGTCCAAGACGGTCGATGCCACCATGGAGCCCCGCATCGTGCGCGAGATTGACGCCATGCGTCGCCTCCAGCACCACCCTAACATCCTCAAAATCCACGAAGTCCTTGCCACCAAGACCAAGATCTACCTCATCATGGACTTCGCCGGCGGCGGCGAGCTCTTCTCCAAGCTTTCCCGTCGCGGCCGCCTCCCGGAGTCCCTCGAGCGCCGCTACTTCGCGCAGCTCGTCTCCGCGCTTCGCTTCTGCCACCGCCACAGTTATAAGTTGGGGATGAACGCTTTTGACATAATCTCCATGTCCTCGGGGTTGGACTTGCGGGGGCTGTTCGAAACGACGTCGGATAAGGGAGAAACGGTTCACTTCCGATAAGAGTGTGGAGGCCGTCGACAAGAAGGTGAAGGAGGTTGGCTTGAATTTGGGGTTTAGGGTTGAGGTTGAGAAGAACAGTGCGATTGGGTTGGGAGAAACGGTTCACTTCTGATAACGGAGAGATTCGATAATTTTGGAAAACGAGGTTTTAAGTGTGGTCTTGGACACCCAATTAGCCAGTAACTCATTTTGATTTGTTTTTGCGATGAAGATCTATGGCATCAGGAATATAGTTTTTGTGTGAATGCTACTAATTTAGGGATTTTAATAGTAGATTTGTGTTGCACAGGTGTTGGTGTGTGCACTGAGGTGGAAATAAGAATACTGAATTGTGAACAGCATGGTGAGTGTTGTTTTATTGGGTGTTATTGTTTTGGTGCTTTGCCTGTTGTTGATTGTTCTAACCTTCATTCACTTGATTTGGTGATGGTTTTGTGACTCTAACTAATTTTTTTTTTAAAAATATAATTACCTTCTTGGAGCTTTCAAGCCTGCGTGTAATGTCTTGATCACGTTTAATGATGGGAAGAACCGTAAGCAGGTAAGCGACCACTTTTACTTTTTGTTTTTGTAATTTCTATTATGGGAAGTAATGTTATTCATCACATTGTGGCAATTTCATTCTGTAACATTGTTGCAAAAGACATATGTTGATGATAGTGAAAGGTTAGGAGAGTAGGAGAAGGGGATTTGTAATTAGTGATTTTTCAATAGATCAGATTTTCGCTGCATCATAGTAACTTGTATTGTTATATGTGGATGTTTGGTTGATATCATTTTATTTTTTTGTGGAATTTTAGGTTCCATTTAAAAAAGAAAATGGTCAAATGGTTACAATCCCACTTTTCCAAAGTCAAGAAAACATTGCTGGGAAGGTATTTTATTTTTTAATGTTCATAATATTGTACTGTTGAGTTTAAGTTAATCACATGATGTTTTTTAATGACTTCTGATATATTGTCAATCTTACTAGTTGAATTTTAAATATCTACTGCCATTTTAGATTACAATAGAACCAATGCAAGGGAAAAAAATTGATCACAATGGTGTTGAGCTCCTTGGGCAGATAGGTTTGTACTTGACTAATTTTTCTAACTCTTAAATGTGTTGTGCCTCAAAAGTCAAAATACTTAATGGAGGTAAACAGAAGGATGGAAAAAAAATGAGTTATTGTTTAGAACCTTTTATTTATCAGTATACTATGTGATGAAGCTGATCATATTGGCAAAAATTCACTACAATTTGTAGCATTTTCGTGCACTTGCTAAAAGGAATTTACGTTGTCAATTATTTCATTATCTAATATTTTTTGTCTTTTGAATCACATGTATTACTTTTGTTAGATAAAGTTTAGAACTTTTAGGCATGTCACATTTTATATTTGCATTACTTGTAAATAGATGTGTGTATAATGGAACTTCATACCTTTAAGGGGACTGGAATTATTTAAAAAAATTATCCAGCATTGAGGATGTATGCTACTCTGGAATTTTTATTCATTATTTTCTTTTAAATTGTCATTTAGGCTAAATATTCCAACTTGATTCTCTATTTTTATTTTTATCTAGTTATATCCATGATTGGTAGGTGGATTATTTATTTTCCCTTGAGCATATGCTCCTGAAACTGATATGATCTTCCTGCCACTGATGATCTTATTTCAAATTCCAAATTTGGGCACTTCAATATTTTTTATACAATGATGTAACATGGTAACTTTTAAAGTTTTCTCTGGTAATGACCAGTAATGAAATAAATTTTCCATTCATCACTTGCTGTAAACATATGCATTTGTTATTTCATTATTGCTTTGGGAATAATTATTTGTTAATGTCTGACATCCTTTTTTTTTTACTTTATTACTGAGAAAGTTCATTTTGAATTTTGTTTCATTGTGTAGAGATGTATTTTGACAGAGGAAATTTTTATGACTTTACTTCCCTTGGTAATTGAGTGTTCTATCACTTTCATTCTCAAATTTGAAATATTCTACATGTGTGGTGATCCATGCAAAAGTTATACTATTGCAAAATATTCTCAAATTGAGGGTGTCTGGCATTAAGTTTGGTTGATGTCACTTATCTATTATTTCTAAATCTAAATCTAATATATCTGTGACTGAATCAGGTAAGATTGCAAATGTTTTCCTTTGCATTCAACTTGTATCATGCATTTTTTTATCCAATAAGATATTTCTTTTTATTATATATATATGTATATATGTTGGGGTAAAGGGTGTCACAAGTGCAAAGTGTTTTATCCTAGTTCAACCACTCCACATGTGACCTACACGGAGTCCTTAATCATAACCTGATCAAGATTTGTTTCACTATCTCAATGAAGAAGTTTTACAAGCATACCGCATATGCACACACTTCAACTCTCAAGATAGACTCTTTCTTGCACCCAAGAAAGCACTTCTTGTAGAAACCCACTACAAGAATTTCTTACCACTTGAGACACCTACTCAAGATTTTCTTAACACATTACACAAAAGTTTAAAGGAACAAATTCACCTAGAAGTTAAACAAATCAGACTGTGAACTCTTAACCGATCTTAATCCTTCTTTCCAAGAATATACTAATGATGATGATTTCTCTCAAAGCATTTCGAAAAATGTTTTTCTTCTTGGTTTCACAAAGAAAACACTCCAAGAAGGTCACAAAGACTTCACAAAATCAATTCTTTACTCTCTTCTATTCTCTGTACTTGTTTCAAAATGTGAAAACCATTTATAAAGTTTTCCAAACCCAGATAATCAATTATTTTTAAGGATAATCAATTATTTTATTCTTCATAAATTCTGGAAGTCACTTAAGAACAGAATAATCGATTATTTCACAGATAATCAATTATTACAGCAAGGTTCTCTTCAACCTCTTGCTGGAATAATCAATTATAGTTAGTAATAATCGATTATTTTGAGTTAGTTTTCAAAAATTTGATTTCACACTTAAAAAACCTTCCAAGTTACTTTTAAACATCATCATACTCACTCTTAGACAATTTGGATTAAGATTAACTCATGCACAAAGTACACACATGCACAAACAATGAAATTGATCAACAAAGCAACTCAACACATAAGAACTTTTGAACTACAGGTTGAATTTTGCTCCATCGAGACTTTAACTGGGTGATAATTCTTGTTGTGAATTGGTCGTGCTCGTCATCGTTGTTGTATGATTTTTTTATTCATTCTAAATATCGATTTAACGACTCGTCAACTTCAACAATTGGATCCTTCAAAACATTCCATCACAATCAAACTAAAAGTATATCCTCTAGGATTGTGAATGGCACACAAGATTTTTTCTGCGACATATTTTCACCGCTCCCATCGAGTTGGATACTATCCAGTCCGAGAGGTGATTAAAGTTCACTATTAGGAGGGTCTAAGTTGGATGAAGGAGTCACATGATCGATGTTTAGGATGGGTGGGGGTGGTGGAAACATAGGGAGTTGTGGTTACGAAAATTTTCATCGATGGGACATGGTGGTGGATACATTGGAAATGGTGGTGGATACTGAAAATTTTGGGGATTTTCATGATTATCACCACTACAAGGTGGTTGGTTTTGTAAAATATGGTAATAATATTAATAATTATAATTATACTAGTTATGATCCATAATACAAAAAATTTGAGCACAAAATTTAATTGAAAATGAGATAAACAAAATTCAAGATTAATACTATTTATACTTAAATAAAAATTACTATTTTTTAAAAAATACATCTAACGACTCTTCTTCTCCAAAGTCTCTTTCTTTTTCTTTTTCTTTTTCTCCAACATCTCTTTCTTTTTCTTCCAACGTCTTTTTCTCCCGCGCTAGATGGATGACCGCTTCGCATATCGATCCACTACGTCAGATGATTGCTCCTCCCACAGACATCGTACCACGTCGCACGAACTACCGTGTTGGCATTGACCACTGCGTCTCCTCTATTGTGCCTCCCCTGACGCACCTCCTCCTCTGTCGTGCCTCCTCCGTCACTCTGCCTCTTCTCACCCCTTTTCCCTTTTGTTTCTCTCTGCCTCTTCTCTTCCCTTTTCCCTTTCGTTTCTCTTCCCTTTCCCTCTTTTTTCAGCTAAAAATTAATACTATTATATTTAAGCAACTATTCCTTATACAAGCAACCCAAAAAAAATTTTAAGCAACTTTCATGCCACCTAGGACTCCTCCAATGGTAAGTTTCTTCAAGGATCTGTTGCTTGGGTTAAGAAACTCTCCAAGCATTTGTCATTGAAGATGCTCTTATTATTTGTATAAAAAATAGTATTTTAATCTACAATATACATGATAATTATTTATTTTATATAATTAATTTTATAATAAAAAATATTATTGGTTAATATATATCATGTTATAACTAAAATTTATAATAAATTTATAGTTTTGAATATACAAATTATATTTATTTTATATTTATGATAAACAATTTATATTGTGATATAAAATTATTTTTAACTATTGATAATCTATTTTTAAAATATTAAAATAAACACAAAAATGATATATTCCAAGAGACCATTGCACATTAAGGGAGTGAATTCACATCTCCACGAGAAAAGAAATTTAAATGAGAATAAATGTGTGAGAAAATGACGATAGTGGAATGCTTACAAAGAAAATAATTATTCTAATTTATATGTATAGATAAATTAAAAAATAATACATCACTTTTTTTTTTATTTGATGACAATTTACAATGTGGTTACGTATACTAATTATTTTCAATAATAATACATTGTTTAAGAGTAAAACATAGAAAGATGACAATACATGCAAAAGTTTTTATTTTGCTCATTCTTGGTAATTATATTATTAATGTGAAATATTCAATTGATGACTAAGATCTATTAGAGGATTTGACTGATTAAATCTTTCTTTTTGACCACGTTTCCATACATGAGACTTAAAAAACACAAGTTTGTTTTTGAACCTATACAAATAACAAACAGTTTTTAATTATTATAGTCATGTCTTTTAGAAAACACTTAACTTAAAGTTTGGTGCATGTTGCCAATAACATTTTTTTGTCATTAGTTGTTTCAAAACATGGTTTGTTAGGTTTCTCTCCTGGTATATATATACAAAGCCTAAATTCACATTTTCAAGATAGTATCAAAATCTATCCTAGCCATTATTATTGATTGACTAATTAAGTAATCTATTATTAGGTCATTATCAAATCACCAACAAATCTTCAATTCATCAAATTTCACACTTGAGATGTGCAGTCTCTAGCATGAAGTGGGTGTGTTAGAGATCTCATATCCATTAGATATATGAGAAAAATAAAGTATATAAGAAAGGAACAATTCTCATTTAATAAGTCAAATTCTTAAGGTTAAGTCAGACCCAAAATCACTTTCTTAAAATAGTATCATAGTTTTTCCTAGTGATTATTGATTATAATTGGGCTTATTAAATCACTTGTTATTAGGTCATTATCAGACTACCCATAAATGTTCAATATTGCAAAGTTCATACTCAAGATGTCAAGTCCTACAAACTTCAGGTTCGAGTGTCCATTCATAGGCATGACTCTATGAAGGGTGTGCTCATTGACAAAGATATTACCAAATTAAAATATATAAAAGGATAACAACTTTACTTTATAAGCTAATTTTATAAGATTGAGTTAGGCTAATAATTTTCTTTCTTAAGAACAATACTTAATAATCTTATTGCATAACAATGAAGTTAAAGGGAAAACACATAGAACGGGGGGTTGAATATGTGTATGTGTGTGAACGAAGGAGTTTTAAAATCCTTTTCGCAGAGAGACTTTTTTTTGTCCAATAAAAATATTATGTTGAATACTTAAAAACTATGCAGGATTGGCTTAAAAAAATATTTTGCGTCTGAGAGTTTATCGTCTGCACAAGAAAAATGTTTCTTAAAAATAATAAGTTAAGCAAGTGTATTTTTCGTCTGAAGAGAGTCAAAGTGAAGAGTAAGAAATGGACGAAATTTTCAATATGATATATCAACTAAACAAAATTGTGCCTGAAACATAGATAAACAGTGCAAAAAATTTTATATTAGTTCGCTCAGATTGAGTTACGTCTAGTCTCCTTCAATTGAAGGGTTCCACTAGATTTTCAATTAAGTATAAATATTATCACCACTTCGAGTTTTCTAAGTATTATCGACCACTTCTGCCCTGTCAACTTCACTCGTCAGCGCTAGTATTCTTTGTTCAGCCTCTTCAAGCTCTCAGTGAGTATTCTCGACCACTCCTGGTCCCCGAGTATTATGAACCACTCCTTGTTGGCCAACTTCACTCATTGGCTCTAGTATTCTTTATTTAGCCTCTCAGGCTCTTAGTGAGTATTCTTGACCATTCCTGGTCCCCAAGTATTATCAACCACTCCTGGTTGGCTAACTTCACTCATTAGCACTAGTATTCTTTGTTTAGCCTCTTCAAGCTCTGAGTGGGGATTATCGACCACTCTTGGCCCGCTA